GCTGCGGGACGGAACTGAACGAAGACAATCTCGCCTTGTCCTTATCGGGCAATCCATCGAATTTTAATCAATTCAAATTACTTATCGAACTATTTATCGATTCAAATCACTTACCGAACCACTTATCGAAGCAAGCTCGAAATATTACGCGAAGACTAATTATTCGCAACATGCTAAAAACCAATGCAAATGAAAGAATATGAAATTGATGGATGGGATCGATGTGAACCGTCTGTATTCGCTCTTGTCTCAGAGTACATATATATCTTGAAAATATAGTAAAAAAGGAGGTCGATATATTCAGCTATCTACATGTGAAGACACGATATGGCGACATATGGTACATGAGACAAGAGACGGGACGGAACTAAAGAAAGACGATCCTGCCCTATCTTTATCAGACGATCGATTGAAGTTTAATCGATTCTAATCGAACTTCTTGTTGAAGCGAACTCGAAATATCACGCGAAGACGCAACTAATTTGCGAAACGAAATATATTTAATTTTAAGCATTGTTAGAAAAATAATTATTGTTTGTTAAGATTGCAATGAAATAATAATTTATAATTAACTAAGACTATGTTTACAGTTGTAAAAGTACTTTCGCATGCTTTTCTCAGCTAAATATAGTCTTTATATAGTTGGTCTTTAATTAGAAGAATGTAACTATTGAATCATTCGCATCTTAAAGTATGAAATTCCATTTTGAATATCTCACTCGCCTCTCATATGCTCTTTAGATGAGAGAGATTCGAGTAACAACTATAAATACGAACCTAAGTTATCGTCGAAGCGCGACACTTTCAATTAACGATTTAAAAATTCCGGAGTATAATTCTATTTATCCATCAGATAACACAACGCGCGTATATCGCATTTCATTACTGCCAGCACGATAGCTGTTCATCAGCGATCAAGATTGAAAAGGGGGATAAAGTCTGTGAAGTTTCATGTTTTCCAACGACGCGGATTCACATACATACGCCACAAAACATATTTTATACCTAAATACCTAAAATACTTAAAAGGTTTCTCCCAATTAATATTTTTAAAAAATATTATTTTATTTGTTAATAAAATTTTACTTAATTGTAAGCGACTATTTTTTTGTCAAAAGGTATTATATTTTATAGAGATTAAGTTAAATAATGAAAATATGACATGTTCAGAAAAAAATAGACTACATCCATAAAAAAAAATTATATACTTTATACTTAAAAAGAACTGATTTTATAAATTATTAATTTAGTTTTCTGTTATTCTGAATATTTCATATCATCATCTTTATTAATTATAATAATTAAATTATAAATAGATGTAATATATGTGTTACTTTACCTCTGCTTACAGATTCGACCGACGAAGGGCTGAAGAAGGAAAAAAGGGCCATAGGAATTTCTGACGTCGTTTGATGTATGAAAATTTGCAACAAGAATTCAAGGAAGGAAGACAGGAAAACAGAGAGTATTTCGCCATTCTTTCAGCGTTAATTATATCGCAGCCGTGAAAGCCATTTAAACTCGTCGTTCGACATATATCCACATGCTCTATATGCATTCACACGTACATGACATTAATATACACGTACACGACACATATAAGGGACCCAAAAGCCTGATTAACACCGCGTACTTCCTGTGATCGTCGATTAACACGATAAGCGGAATAATCAAAAATAGCGACGCAACGAAAGGAGAGAAATGTTCAGGTCACGTACGAACAGAAACGTGAATTACTGTAAAGCTCTCGTAAGAAAAAAGACGACGCCGTGTTTCAAAGAGTATCGAGATCGGTAGATGCGACGAGGCGAAGTAATTGAAGTCGATAATTTGTACAATTCCAAATATTTGATCTACTGGTATGTATAGATATAATTATCTCTATATAAAAACAACTCATTTTTAAATTCTAATATTTTTTTAAATGATTAAAAATGATTACGTAAGTATTTTTGTCTTAGAAAATGGCCTTGAATTGTGTTATTTGTTTTGTTTTTATCTTGTTGTATCAGAAAAAAGGATTTAAATTCTGACAAAGAAGGATGAAAAAGTATTAACAATATTTAAATTCATAATTTAATTTTTTAACGGTATAAATTTCTCCATCAATATGGTAAAATTAGATAAAAAGAAATTTTTATCTCGAATAAAATAAATTCTAAGCTAAAGTATAAATAAATTTGTTATCAAGGTTTAAATTTATCATCGAGAAACTTATCGGTTTCAAATTTTTTTCATTGATGAATTACAATTTTCGACAACACGTGCAATTATATAATATTGATAGTATCGTTTTCAATCTTTAATTCATGTACGCGTGCGACGTACACATAAAAGATAGAAAAGCATTAATTTATCGCCAAACCATATTCTCGTTACTCTTTGCTATCGGTTGAAGATAGGAACCGGAAAGAGAGGGAACGAAGAGAGGGGATCGAATCTATATGCTCTAATCGTGCGTTTTCTGGAGAGCTACACGAAACGCGCGTATGCGTATCACGACAATCATCATCTTTGTACGCAAATAGTAGATTCTTTTTATAAAGAGACGCGCCGTCAGAGAGCAGATGCTATCTAACGGGCCGCGTAGTTAAGACGAATGCCATCTTTTTATAAAGAGACGCGCCGTCAGAGAGCAGACGCTATCTAACGGGCCGCATAGTTAAGGATACGAATGCCATAATAATGACAAAGTTTTGTGGTTGTACTTAAGTCATACTTTATACTCTACTTTATTATTAAGATGCTCTAAGCGTAAGTTACTTTTATATTCCATTAGCGAAGTGTCTATCTACAGTTATTGCTACGTTTTTTTTTCTATACTTTTGCATCGTCGAGCTAGACGACGAATCGACTCCGTTTTGCGCTGATCGTCAATTTTGGCGCAAGCTATGAAAACTTTGCAATACTACCTTACCTGCACTTGTGATCATATACCTAACTTGAATTTAAGCTGAATGCTCGTAATCTGTATACTCCGATTTCAATATTACAGTGACTTATAGAGGAATAAATTTTATCGCGATGTTATGTTGTCTTGACAATAAAATGAAAATTGACAGCAATCTTTATTTTACGGGAAAAGTAATAAAATATTGATGAATTAAATGGTGGATGATAAAACATTTTTTTCTAATTTGATACTAAGATATGCAAAGATTAAAAAAAGAACCAAAATATGCTTTTCTAGCATTGTTCGAAGATAATTAATAAAACAGTCTGGAAATATCTTCTACAATCTGAGCGCTCAGTTATTTTCCGTTTCGATTTTTTAATACAATATCGCTGTGTACTAGTAACTTTTCGGACATTGACAAAATCTTAGCGCCGCGATATATAAAATTATATACTGCACTTACTTTTATTCCAATATTAGAGAAGCCATCGATGAATATCACCTGTGCGATCGTATGAATGAAAACAAATAAACTCACATTGAAAATCAGGTGCGAGACCGCCTTTCCATTGATGGTCCCGACCAAAGGACATGTTTGGACCTTGGTCTCATTTTTGTGATTATTATTTAAATATACGTTAAGCAGACAATAGAATAGGCTAGCCTTGTTATGTAATTGAATATGAGAATAGCACTTGGTTGCACTGGGTGGCCTTACCCAGTCGATATCATTTTTTTTCTTCAATATCCGAAAGAAGCGCAATAATTAATGATCCGAAAAGAGGTATTATATAATTATGCTCATATATGTATATATATAATCTGTTGAATTATTTATCCAAAAAAAATCGACGGATATTTTTCAGTTATCAATAAAAATAAAACTGTTGAAAAAAGAAAAGCAGTCGAAAACAAGTGGCCTTCTTTAAAGAAAGAATTACGATCTAAATGAGAGAATGTTAAATAATCAGAATGCGCTCGCGTTACAATGAACTAGCTGTATTACGAGTGTACAATAAGCTTTTAGATTTATAATACAAAATATAGATTCTATATTATCATGAATATTATATCGCGTAATGAATTTTTGTATAGAAGGCACTCGGTCCCCTTTACGACAGAACTCTGTGTGTTATAAGCGTGTGGACACGCTTATTTCGTATGTTGATGTTCTCGGAGAGTGTAATTTTGCCATGACGACGAGCGCCGGAAGAAGAACTTTTAGCGCGGAGCTTGTAAAAAGCGATATTATGCATTTGTGCGTAAAACTAGAATTAGTTTTCTGATTCCTTGGGACATTGGATGTCAATGGATCTCCGTTAGAGCGACCACCTTGGAATTAACGCGAACTCTGATCGTGTTTTAGCCGCTTCTTTGTTATGTGAAATGCAGAAGGTGCGACTAAAACGAATGGATATTACGGGATAATTGCACGATCAGCTCATCGATAACACTTCTCAATATCGTCAGCCACGTTCTCGCGGCGAAATACTCAGCGCGTAAGGGTCGAGGATCGTTGTGCCTTCGTGTATGCACGTTAAAGTACGTTTATAATGATTGTAAGAAGAGCAGACATCCACACTTTGTGATTCCATAAACAGTTGTTCATTTTTTTATACTTTCTTTAATGCTTACCTAGGATAGCTTGTGTACCCTAAAGAGTGTTTCAATAAAAATCACAGTGAAATAATCTGCTGCATTCTATTACTTGTACTTCTTCGAGAACCAGTTTTACCTATCCTCTCGTGAAAAAAAAATAAAAATTCTTCTCTTATATCTTAATTAAATTTTTGTTAAATTATATAATTTATATATATTCTTAACATATATCTGGATAATAATATCTTTTGTTATCAATATAAATTCTCCTGTTTGGAATAAAGAAATTTTGAAATTTTGCGAGAAAATTCGAAAGAAAAAAGACTCGAAATAAATTTTTCGATAAAGTCATCAATAGTAAATTATAAATAAAAAATCGCAGAATCATCTATTGAAAATATACTGTTGCATAAAAATCGCTCGGATCGAAATCCAATTTACTTTATTCGTATATCACAGGTAGGGTTTTATACAAGGGGGACGAAACAGCGGATAACATGATTTATTTATTTTTTTTTTTTGTATTCAAGGTTTTTGAATTAATGTTACAAGCAATAATATAATCAAAGATAATGAATGAAAAGCGATGAAACTAAAATCAATTATTACACCTCTTTCATTATTGGTCGCATTATCTCATCTTCGAATGATTGATTTTTTCGCAGTTATCATCTTTTACTCTTTTCTTTTTTTTTAATAATTTGTACTTCTCTTGGCGCAATCTCTTGGCTCTCTCATTTCCAAGGAACCAGTCGATTGCTTTCCAACGTCGACAGATTTGCGAGGTTTATTATACTTTATCGTATAACGATAATGATATTTAGAAACGATGCCGCTTGATTCATAAATTTTAAGAAGGAGAATCTCGTTGTCCGCGGGAGATCACGTTTATTAAACTTTGAATCAATGTAGTTTTGCATGTCTGTAATGAATCGAATAAATGCTGGCAGACATTCGTCTCAAGTTATAAAAATATTATTTGTCCAACATATTACTAACTAAAGTTCTCTTAATAAATTAAAATGAGGAAGAAGAAGTATTGGTCATAAACGTCGATCTCCCACTTTCGTTGACGAATACATATGCGAATTAAAACATTTACATAAATAAAAATAACAACAGAAACGCACAAATCAGGCCGCATCGTTGCAATAACGACGGCAAGTAATTTCTTGCCCTCGTTGTGTATTCCACTTAATAAAATCTTGTTGATTAAAATAACGAAACACTAGTCATAATAACTTCTCTAATTAACGATTATTTGCTAATATACAAAATAGTAGAAAAGAGAGAAAAGCAAGTCCGTTTCCTATCTCGTAGATTTTTTTTCTTCGTAAATACAAAAACGTAACGCGTAGTATCTAAAGTATTGTATGTGTTCCAGGACGTCAGAGATGTTCTGATCGCGCGGAAAAGTCCTTTCATAATTATATAACACAATTATCTGCAAATCAATTGTGGATAATTTCCAGTGATTTAGCGAATATATCCAGTATCAAGAACGAGAAATGAGCGATGTATTAGCTTCGCTATGATAATAAAATACATTGTCGAGATTGTCATCGACTGTCGTGTAGTGTACGATCTTAAGAATGACATGCTCTGAAAATTTCGAGCAAAAAAACACCGAAATCATCGCAAACTACATTGAAAACTTGTCCGTGCGATCGTTGCCGCCGCGTCGTGGAACTCATCTTTTTTTAATCGTATATACGTACCGCTGTAATATTCCTTCTTTATGTAATGTATTGTTATAATGTTCGTGTAACAATAAAAAGCAATATGCAAATGGTATTGAAGACTTCTCGTTCGGAGGTGGCTGCTTGTGTTAGCGCGTTCCGTGCATTCGCGCAGAGGAATTCCATTAGTTCTAAGACACTTCGCTCTTTTACATATCTCTATCTAACGCATTTTCACATTCTCCCATTTTCTTTCTCTCTTTCTTTCTCTCTCTCTCTCTCTCTCTTGTGTTCACTCACTCGCTCTCTTTTGCCCGACTAAAGTAATCTCGCTATCAACAATGCTATTAATGCGCCGCAACATCTCATTTTCTGGAGGATCCAAAACTGCACATTTGCCGATTTTCTAATTTCAATTTAGAATCGGTTTTTGCTTATGATTAATCAAAGGGTACAAACGCGACACCCTATCTTTCAGTTATTGGGATAATTAATGATTTCTTTTTATAATGATTTCTCAAATGATTGCCGAATAGATAGTTTTTTAATTATAATTACTATTATTTTTATTGTATATATATATTATATTGCGGCACATTTGTATAATAAGCGGTTCACAGACAGACATACGAGATTCTTTGATGGTCTGCAAAAGTAACAAAGTCGTGTTCCTGCTCTAATCTCTCAAACATGATTTCGAGTCAAAGTAATCGGCACGTTTTTGCGCACAGTAAACGTCTTTGTTTTCATTTCCCTTTCAGAATAATTATGCGTGGCAAGATACCGATTGATAGAAATTGCAGATAAGTGTCGAATAAATATCGCGCGAGTTTTCTCATAAGAAGTCTTACGATACAGGGTGTCGCCGAACCATCGGGTATCCTTTTAATCACAGCTTCTTCGGCCAATTTCAATTCCATAGAATTTTTGTTTGGCCACAATATCATAAGAGCTTATCATTTTTATACTTTCCTATAATTTTCTAGTCTTTAATGATATATCGAATTAAAAATTGATATATTAAATCAATTTAATATATTTTTTGTTGTTTATTTATCTTCCGAAATTTATTTTGCGGAAAGCTTTTCATTTTCAATCGCTAATAATTTATAAGCTTTTCAAATCACATTTGAGAAAATATCAATTCCAAGGAGTATGCCTTGGTTTATGGGACGCCCTGTATAATATTAACGATTTCCTCCGTTTCGAGTTCCCGGTTCGAGCTCTCGAACGCCTTTAGTCGCCTTAGCACGAAATCTCCGCTTTTTCCAGCCGCTTCCGATATCTCCCTTCTATTTCTCGTACGACAGTAATCATAGTTCTTAACGCTATCCGCCGACCCGAACGAATTATGCGGATCGTCCCCGTCATCGGCACAAATATTAACGAGCATTTTCCGGGATTCGCTCGAGTCGCCGCGATGCAATCGGCGTTCTTATTATTTTATGGAGCTTAATCGACAAAAATCTTTCTCACACTCTCACTCGCAAAATCAACGCACTCTCTTTCTCATTTTATCTTTCCTCTCTCGGCACTCTGTAATGACTATCTAGTCTTTCTATCGCTTTTCCGATTGTTCCTAGCGTCATGACATTCCAGGCTTTTTGATATCTCCGTTTATAATCCTCTTTAATTCCGCATTATTATTTCTAGATAGCTAAAATATTGACCGATGATCGACACAAGATTGTTTATTCCTTGGGGTACTCGTGCTTTTGATTCTTAAAGACAAGCATAAGAGGATAAAGCAGAAATATAAGATAATTAAAAACTATTTAAAATATATATATCTTCACTAATTATTCTTTGTTACTCTAATTTTCTTTCCTTTCGCGCATAGACTTTTTTTCAATAAAATTTATATGTGTGTAATTATATTACACGCGTTTCTCCGCACGATGGGATAATTAAATTTTTTACATCGATATTAAATACTGATAAATGAGCGAGCGTTGCGTATCTGCGTTCTCTGGAAAAATTTATTATAGATGAAATTCTTGCACGTTCACACACTTGTACCGAGTATACTTGTCAAGACAATCGCAATATTATTACTCGCCTATCGCATCTAAATAAATAATGCGAATAAAAAGTGAGCTACATCCTCACGCGCGAAAACATACGCAGTTTTGCGGAACGTCATTTCGTTTTTTTTTTCCCGCCGTTACATCATTCCTGCATTTCGATCCTCGGATACAGAAACGATTAACGATTTCGTGTTCGTAGTCGCAATAAATTATACGATTTGTACGATCTCTCGCGCGCGATTCTAGTATCTAGGATACGGACAGCCTCTCGGCAATATTCGATCGCGCTATACGCGTCTCATCTTACACGCTACTTAATATTGATACTTGCACGATGCAAATTTACATATTCGCAAATAATACTAATTAAACGCGCGCGCGTAAATCCGCGTAAAGATAATCATAATTACATACACATATAATTAAATCATGGAAATACATCACAGAGAATTATATTTTTCCTCTCTTCTCATTTGTATTATTGATTCCTCAGGATCTTCTAGAATAAATGCCAGTCAGCCAAACTCGTTAACGCACACTTATAATCTCGCATCGTCTCCGGTCTAGAATAATCCTTTTATCGGGTCGTTCGATCTGCATAATCCTATGGCAATTTATACACCGCTGCGTGTCGTCTTCGGCCAACGTCGAGGAGCGAGCTCGTTCTCTCCAGCGGCGGAAAGATCTAAATTTTACAGCCCAAGAAGACCTTTTACGCGGAAGGATTATACGCGCGTCGCCCCGTTTCTCTTTCACAAATAATACAACGGCATTTACGTTGGTGACGGATTTAAAACTTCAAATTGCGTGCGATAATTAAAGACCCGAAATGAGAACGGAACTAAGTGCCGCAATAATTAAATTCGAGATAATTAAGTCATATTTTTCGTTCATGACGTGTACTTTTTCAGTCATTAACTTTAACTTTTTCTTTAACTTTTTTTTTGTATCTTTAATTCGTTTCCATTTCGAGTTTTTAATTAAAAGCTATAGTTTATCATCGAAATTACCTCTCTTCGAGTATTATAACATCGTTCTTTATACATATACCAAAATTCACGATTATTTATTTAGTAATTACAAATATTTTCGAGAAGCAAATAATTATGAATTCGTAAAACGATTTAGGAGAGTAATGAGACCATTGTCAGTAAATCCATCACTGATTCACGCAACACACTCGGTCATACATACGTCTCCCTTCTCCTCTCATTCACTTTTTCAGAAATATCGGTTTGCTCTTTCTCTCTCTCTCTCTCTTTCTCTCGGTCAATTATAACTATTTATTACAAACGAGTACACACTCAAAACTCAATGGCAGTCTGTTCTTGTGGTGTAGGCAGCGTTTACCACGTGCGGATGACATTCGCTTCATCGTGTAAAATCGCGTTCGTCGAAAATGCGAACGCACGCGGCAAACGCGGCTCTTGAACTCTTGAGGAACTTTTTGTTTATTCTTCTTTTTCTCAATCGTGTGTTCAAAGTCTCGATTTCTTTTTTTTTGTTTATTATTATTACGATTAATTAATTGCGCTTACCGGTACCCTCGTCGGTATCACGGCTCTCTTGTATTTCAGTCTCGAGAAGTTATTCTCCTGTGTTTCAGTTCATAAAAAGAGGTACTCGATACTGTATAGAATCGAGGATGCTCGTGTCGTATCGGACTATCGGCTGTCTACACGTAGAAAAAAGCGCATATTTTAACGAGAACGATGCCACCTCATTCCGTGTAATAGAAAAGCAGTTCAGCTTCATTTCGTGTGGTCATTTTCAGAGATGAAATGATGAATTTATTCGTTTTGATAGATATGTGACTATAGAAAACTTGTGAAATAATTGAAGGATTCGATGCATTACTCATTTAATACTCTTTATTTTAGAAACGTATCTTTTCTTCTGTAATTTCAACATTTTACTTAGTTTACTATCAGTTTTTACTCGTGTACTTCTTAAAGTGATCAACAAGTATATTTTCTATATCGTTTCTTTATATTCGATAATTAAGTGCAATCTGTGTGAGAATTAAAAATTTAAATTGACCATAAAAGGTAAAAGAATTGAAAAAAAATATATTACAGACTACTTTTTTATATCAAATTCTTAAAAAGTTAGACCACTGTTGCACTTGAATTGTGAAACTTTTGCAACCTTGGAACTCTTTTTCGATTTGCGTAGACAACAGTAACTTCGAGTAATGGATGTGAAAAGATTTCTTGACTCTGCTCGTTCGTTTCAGCTGGCTTTATCCGATCGTTTTAATATCGTCATAATATGAATTATTCTCTCTATTTCTTTATAATTCATAATATATTTTTGAAGTTTTAGAAAAATTTCAGTGAATATAATTTTCGCGATTTCGATTGTAATAACCAATCACTGGATTCTCGATTCGCGATTCGAGCCTAATTAGTCGAGTTATCTTACGTATTGCATAAACCATGAAATATTAACGGGCAGATTTCTCGACTGAAATCTTAATGGTGAAGACGATCGAACACTTTAATTCGAATTGACAATTATCGGAGTAAAAAGATGGTCTCTAAAGGAACCACGTAATCTTCGGGTAAGTCTCTTCGTTCTCATCGTACTCAACTGGACGGTGCATGGAAATTGTAAAATTGAAGCAATATGTCGCGTGTTTGTGATACGATCGATATTATAAACTTATTTATATTATATTTTCATTGGTTAATTATTCCATCTTGTTTCATATATTCTTTTTTCAGTTCAACTGCTAGAATCAATTTTTCAATTAGTAGTATCAGTGTACACTGTTAATTAATAGTTAAAAAAGATTATTTAAATTCTTGAATTATATTGTAGAAAATATTTCAATTTTTTACACATCTCCGTTATCACATACGACACGACGCATTGCTGGCACATTAATCTTCCGTATCGGTCTTGCGTTATACGACGCGCTCTAATAAATTTTTATTTGGTCGACATTATGCTTTTCTTACGTTTATTCGAGCTAGAATTGTCTTTAACATTTTAAAAAAATTAAGGGAGCACCTTTCTCTCGCTGATCCGAATTTTTTCGAGCAAAGCGTTTCATTAGTACGTAGTTGATAATTGGTACATTTTCTCGTCACTCTTCGGATAATATCAGTTATCGAAAAATGCGTTACGTATTTCAGAAGATTTCATTAACAACAAATACTTGCAGTGCAAAGTTTAAAATAATTTATGAAAAATTTAATAAATTGCGAAAAAAACAAAAACTATATTTTGATTCGATACTAGTTTTATGAAAAAGAGATTTCTATCTTTCCCTGGACAAAATTAGTTACATACTTCTCAGTTTTCGTGATTAAATTTGAGTTCTTCGAAGCGATGATTAAATACGTATCTAAATAAATATTCTCATCATAGAGTTCACATTAAACAGCGTTTAACGGAACTGCAGAAATCTAAGAAGTACGTAAATAAATGTTACAAAAGACAGAAATATTTTATGTACGAAGAAATTTGTCGAATAAATGTCTAACGTTGATTATTTAATCATTTTCTTTTCTTTTTTTTACAGGGTTGAACCTCCGGCCTATTCTCCATGCTTCAAAAGTGTCACAAAGATTTTTGAGATTCCTATTTGATGCCTGCAGTAATTCTCGATCTGAATCAAGGGGATCTCGAAATACAAATGGATTATTCAATAGCTTTTCCTTCTCTCTCGATTTTTTTGTGATATTGACGATTACTATTGCATGCCTCTTCGTTTACCACGCGCCGCGTGAACCCGGGTCATTCTTCAGTCGACGGATACTCCGATATGACGGATATTCCGATATGATTCAAAGTGCAGTTTATAACGTCATTTAAAAGAAGAAGAAAAAAGAAATGTATTTCAAAACTTGAAAAAAAAAGAAAACATCTTTTCGGCGCACTACAAATTACATCTACGCATTCTCACGCTCATCTTTCGTCTCTTTTCTCTCATTCGCAAAAAAGACACGCGCCCGCGACGCGCACGCTACTCAGTTCTGTTCCTGAAAACGACTTCTGGAATCTCTGTCGCTACTTACGTTACTCGTTATTACAAATTCCGCTATTTTATACGCACGATCTACATATCTGTCTAGCATTCTCTCGCACTCTCCCGTTCTCCCTTTTACTCTCGCTTTCTCCATCTCTACCAGGTCTATCTACCTATCTACTATCTCCCTGTTGTACATTCTTCCGCCAGCAATCCAATGTTTCATGGATTTTACGCTATGTACATTTGTTTCGACAGGCCTGTGGCGAAAGAGAGTAGGATACTGACTCAATTAAAAAAATACTCGATTTCGCGAAATATCCACGTCGCCGAATTTCGATGCACCGCGTTCTAGAAAGTAAATAGACATGACGTCGACAAGTGATCATCTTCAGACAACGCAAACAATATTCAAAGACGTATAAAAGACATTTTTATACAGATGTCCAAAGAAGTCCAAGGAACATCTCAATCTCTCAAGACACCATTTAAATCTTGTTTAGCTCAAGTCTTTTAAACTCTTTCGTATTGTTTGAGTTTTCTCCAGTCTCTGGAGAGAGGAGAGCTCACGCATTTCGAACAAAAGCGCTAGCCCTTGATGACAAATACGAGTTGCAATCTTCCCTCTTTCAGAGGCGATCGATTGATTAATCTCGGCGCTACTCTCAGTCGCCATTTGCCACGACGTGTACAAATCGGATTAATCTTAAACGGTAAAAATTTCTTCGTCGTTCTCGTGATCGCACGCGCGATTCGCACAGCCACACCCTCGCTCGCAATCTCGGAAATATTGGCTGTTCCCCATCTTTTTACCCTTTTCGCACGCATTCTCTACTACTCTCAATGCGATTACGTTACTCTATCAGCAACTTTCATTAGCAGCTAAACCGTATCCTGCGAATTGTTACTCTTTTTTTGCCTTTCTCTCTCAACGAAGCAGTAGAGAAGTTATAGGAGCCATTGTGTGTTTTGTATGTATATATATTTATATATATATATATATATATATATTTTTTTTATACTTTATATGTATATATTCAACGATAAAAAAGATCGTTTCGATCGAGTGTCACCGCGGCAGGGACGGTGACAGCTCTCTCTATCTCTCTTATTTTTTTAAAGAAACATATAATTTTCGAGCGGCTGAATCTGAATCGCTAGCTACAATCTCGTTTTACGTGGGACTTCCTCGTATGTTGCATTGTATTCTGCCTCACGGATGAACTGCCGCTCGAATATCAACGTTTCCGAGTCATCACCCTTGAAATTCGCGCAAACAAGTCGACGATATCTCAAATTTTCGTGAATGATTTCTAAAATTTCTCACACACTGTGACGCATATGTGTGACAATGGATTTAAAAAAAAAAGGGACATTAAAATTTCGTCAAAGTTTCACGATACGAAGTTTTTCAGCTTTGCTGTAAAAGTTGTACATTTTATGAATGAAATCGAAAGAAATGTACATGGATAAAAAATGACATTTTAAATGCAAATTATTTTAAAAAATTTCATTCTCGTCAATTTTATTACTATAGTGGATTAAAGTTAAAAAGACAGCAAATGAAAAAATTTTCTTCAGGTTGGTATTAATGTAATACTAATAACATGCATATTTTGCATGACAGAATTATTATGCCACATGTATGACATTATGCATGGGATTGTATAGGAATCTGATTATGTGTATAGAAATCGAACGACATCTCAATTAACCAGCATTAATTGTCTCTTTCTAAGAGGCTCAACTTCACTGTGTCAAAAAGAAAAAGTTACGCAACATTTCAGAAGTTACGACAGCATTTTGGAATACATATTGCCAGACAATGCACATCATTCATATCGATAATATCTGCAAGTTCAACGTGAAATGAAACAGAGCTATAATTGCTCGTTTGTAATTAAATCTTGTATGATAAGTTATAAACAATAATCGAGCGTATCATGCGCGATCAAATACCACATTCAATATTTAATAGATATAAAACTTATAGAAAAGTCGGTTGGACACTATAGTGCGCACTGGTGCGCATTAAATATTATCACAAATTTACAATATAAGTCTAAGTAATTAAATATTAAAATAATTATAAAAGTATTATAGTAAGAGTTATTATCATTATTTATATTGAACAACAATAATAATTGCTCTTAGTATTAATTATTAAAAATAATTGTTCTTAATATTATTTTTATTATTTATGCCGTTATAAATTTATATACAATAATATTTATATACACCAGTGCGCACTTGTGCATCCCACTTGTGCATCCGAGTTCGCTATTAGTTTCAATGAGCGTATAAAGCGCTAACGATTAACAGAATATCAAAGAAATATATCAAATAAAACACATTTAAATCAGTGAGATGTCAATAGTTGCAAAACAGTTATATCACAGATAGCGTGAATAATTTAATAACATTAGGTGCGATTTTTAGTGTGAATGCAAAATCTGCATTATAAAAAAATATCTCTAATATCTAATATATCTAATATCTAATGTAAAACTTTAGATATATATAACTGTGATTTTTTTTATTATCATCAGTAATAGACTTATATTATTATTCCGAAAATATTTTAGAATTAAAAAATACATAGTATATATATATATAACATAAAATATAATATATAACAAATACATAAAACATAAAATGTTAAGATTTTTTAATGACTTAAAGAAGAGAATAGAGCTTTGCATTACTTCCGCGAAATTTAAAACTTTTATATTTCCGTAAGCATTGCCTGTCTCGCGATCACGAAGAGTGATATCAATATGAATGAAACCGAAAAACAAATTGAGAATTCGTTCGATTCAACTAATAGTTTAATCTGGAATAAAAAATTTTGAAATGACATTCATAGCAATGAAACCGTCACTGTGATATCGTCGATCTTGTTCACGCTGGCACATGTGCAGTATGTTCCGAATTTTCTGCAATTCGGTCCTCTCTCTCTCTCTCTCTCTCGCTATTCTGCCATCCACCGAAAGCAAATCGCGACACGCTAATACCAAGGGCGACACGCGGAATAAAATATAAAAACGTGCGGCGAAACAAAACAGTTAAAGAAGAAAGAAAAAATAAATCGCGAAAAATTCGAGAATCACCAATAGGTTCCTTAAATGCGTACGCGCGTACAGCATTCTCGTATACTTTATACATGCGTATATAGTTACGCACGTGAATATATCTGTATTCGTGTATATATGGATGTATGTATGTGTGTACGTGTGTATGTGTATGTATCATGGAAGCGCCGAAGATATTCGCACGAGATTTTCGAAACTATTAAAATCAGATGTATATACGGGAAAACGAGACATGTATATCGGACTCGCGTATGGGAAAAATTCAATTTGTGTCAAACTCAATGATTTATATTTCTCTTTTCGTATCTTCGAAAATCTTCCCGGCGATTTTTTTTCGATCGATTCGACAACCTATGTCGAACCTAAGTGATAAACATCGTCGCATTACACTCGGTACTTTTACATAGATTCGATTACTCGTTACCGAGGAATATAGCGCGATAATGCAGAAGACGACTGTTCTATTAACGATGAATTTCTTATCCCGAAAATAATGAATCTGCCGTGAATCTTTTGCGTACGATTCATAGTGGGAAAAGACAGAAATGAAGGTGAATTTCTCTATTTGTTTTAGGCCCTCGTGCGTCCTCGCATGAACGTCGACATCGAGCTTTGTACATTACTTTCGAGATCCGCGACTTCGGAAACGCGGGATCACACTTTCATCGCGAATGTCGAAAGCCTAAGATAGAATCGTAACTCCTACATAGGGCGCCTCTCGTACGTTTCGAGAGTAATTGTTCCGTTAAACATATTCTTTTCTCTAGTCCAGATAAATAATACAACCTTTACATTTATCTGCATACTCTTGAAAAAAAACAAACAATGAAAACGGTAATGGTATGTAAAAAAATATGCAAATATACGTTATCAAAATGAAATTTAAATTGAACGACGAACGAAAGGTACGAAGGGCACATTTTACGATATTATCCTATTTCAGCATCGTGGTACGTCAGCTAGGTGATCGTGTGTTATGCGATGATATCCGCTAAAAGATATTATATACACGCAATACAGTTACGGAATAGCGTCACATTTATCGTACAGATAGACAATAACTTGGATGTATTTCAAATTGCGTACTCGGCTAACAATTCCTACGTTTATCCTAATTGCTAGAAGATTAACTAAAGGTCTTAACTGCGTCTTATTCTGCGTCTTACCACCGCGTCTTACCTCACTTGAAGAGGTCCATTAACTTACTTATATATATTTAAAGAGTACTTAAAATTAACTTCTCGTAGGCATATATACCTCTATGCATTAAATCCTTAAGCTTACGTCGCGCTCGTACATTAATTATCCTCGTCGTAGAAAAGAAAGTAGTAGTAATAGTAGTAGTAGTAATAGTAGCAGTAATAATAGTAAATTACAGGCGAAAGGATCCGTACTATAATGTAATCGATTAAAAATTGGTCTATGAGTCTATTACTCGCGAGCGATAACGCTTGCACAATCGACAAACACTCGATGAAACGGTACACGCACAAAGAGAGAAGTAACACAAAAAGAAAAAGTTAACGCACATAATACACAATAGACGCGTGTGAATGAATTAAAGAAAAACAGAAAAAGAAAAACAAAACGTAACGGCTCTTTTCTCAACGCCGGTCGATCGATCGTTCGACCCTCCCCGTAAACCGATCGCTCCTCTCCTCGAAAGGCACGAGAAATTGTAAATTCCAAGCCTCTTAGTCTCGTATTCGCAAGCTATAAGAAATCCATATGTTGCGTAGAAAAAATTCGTATGCAATATATCGTATGCGGCAGGGTTAACAGTTTCACAGCAAAGAGAATCACACAGGACGTCACTCAAGACGTCGCATAGAAAGCTTGTCGCCGTCCCGGTTTCTCCTCGGCTCTTGCAACAATTAGCGTCTATTAACGCTGATTGTTAATCTGATAGAGTGGTCTGCGACGCAACGGGAATACCAGCCGGGAAAAGTCATCACTATCAAGGTTCCCGGTCATCGTATCGCATTGACGAGTAAATTGGAGGAGACGAGCGATCGTCAATTCACTACGCTTCAGGTCTACCGGATGTACCGACCGGCGTCGTCACTTTACGTACATTACGTCTACTATGAAGGAACAAAACTTCTGGGTATTCTCTGGGAATATTTGGCACAGATTAAACGGAATTTTTCTTCAACCCGCGACACATGTTTTAATAATACGCGAGAACATAGTAGACAGGAGTTACGCAGACCTACACGCGGGACAGCGTATCGAGGACCGTATCAAGGTCCGTTCCGCTCTGCCGTAGCGTTTCTCTAACATGTGTGTCAAACATTAAACATTGCGTATGGATATATTTTGATTAAACGTTGTTGTTGTTTGATAAACCACTTTCTCCTAGTCGTTTCGCGCCCCGATCTAGTGGTATGTGTAACCCCGTAATAAGCATCGAAAAAACATATATACGCGTCGTTATATCTCAATATCTCATTCCTCGCATTGTCGTCTTGTATTTTTTTCATTTTCGTAACAATATAAAAAAAGAACGTAAATATGTACTTTATATTCTTTACAAATAATATATTTATGTGTAATATATGTATTATACAGCGTACGCAGACTTATCCGCCTAGAAATATTATCGACGTAGTTTTCGCTTAAGTCTAAGAACGTACTACCTAGTAAAACGAAGGATGAGAAACGTCCGCTTCGCATCTCGCAATTTTTTTGCGAAAGGAAGAGAACCTTTCTTTGGGAGGAGGGAGGGAGCGGGAAACCCTTCGAGATTCAAAGCGATCTCGTGGCGATCGTCGGAAACACACGATCGGAAGGAATTGTTAGTATTTACACGAGAAAAAAAAAATGGGAAAACGACGTTTCGTTTCAACGACTCGACGATGAGGATCCTTTCGTCAAGCTTCGAGCTTGGCTCTGCCTTCGCTATCTGTTTTGCTATGTCCGTGATTTAAAACTTTATTCCTTCTATCTAAATTTCATTCTATCGCGATCGTATGCATTTTTCCATCTTAAGCAACCTTTATTAAAGCGAAGGCAAGCAAAGCACGTAGTAGGAACATACATAAAGTGTCTCTCGCAGTATACAGTCCGAATGAAGATCTCCGGTAACGATTGGAGATTAACGGCGGACGGAGAGTATTTTTTTCCGTTATGCCGGAAGAGAGTGCGTGCAATGTGCGATTGCGATGATAGCCGCTCTGTCTACCTGTCCCTGCGAACGCTCGCTATCTTTCTCTCGAGTTGGCCAAAAAGGATTCCTCATTTTCGAATGACAAACCGCGGTGATGTCGAGCGATGGGGACGAATGCGTCGTCGTTTCGAGTACATCGTTCAGTGCACGGAGCGCAGCGCGTTGCTGGATCACGAGTGCTTTACCACGATCACGCCGGGTCGCTGTTGGGTCTGCTGTTGCGTATGAAATTGGAGGAAGTGTTCGGCGTGCAATATCCGTTGCTTCGCGGACGTCACTGTGGCGGACGTCGCCGAGGGAGAAGAGGAAGATGGAGGAGAGGAGGACGTCGTAGACTTCGTCGACGTTGAATTCACCATCGTTTGCTGCTTATTGGTCAATGCCAACGGCATATCCTGCGCGGGCTCATCGCTAAACAGATGATCGCCCTCCAGATGACGTATCGCTTCGACGATCGTTTCCAGGTTCTGCCGGGATGTGTTCGCGATGTACAGCCTTGCTTGCGGAATGCCGTCGTCCAAAGAGTTCGACGGAGAAGGCAACCTGCAATCGAGAAACCTCTCGTTAACGAATATCGAATATCTAGGTCTTTTGTGAGCCGACAAAACAAATCTATACAATCTGTAGCTTGCGCGAGAAAATACAAAAAACATATGTTTAACATAGCGGCTGGTACGTCAGACAAATTAAGTACACATAACTTTACGTTTAAGTTAAATTTTCTAATTATTAATTTACAGGGCTACTCTTACTCTTTGTGTCTCAAATAACGATCAGAATCAGACAAACAGTCACGCATAAAGCAGAATGACATGATATGCGTACCTCTCCACCTCGACTTTGGGCTCAGCCTTTATCGCAGCCTCCAAAACGCTGGGTAGTCGTTGAGGCTCAGCGGCCGGCGAGAAGGGTCTGCTGGGACTCGCTGTAATGTACTGAGGCGAGGTGTTCTTGAAATCCGCGGAAGATGACGTGGCATATGTGACACGATTCGAAGACGGGAAGGAATCCGCAGTGGTCTGCTCCTCCATCGCCGTGAACACTTGATTCTGAGCAAAGGTGACGATCTTCGGACTACCCGGACACGATTCCTCCTCTTTTATCTCGTCCGGCTTTATCTCCATGTCAGCCGGCTGCGGCGACAACGGCGGTGAACTCGGGTCCGGACTTGAAGTCTCCACGGTTTGAGTGGAACCCACCGGCGGCAGAGACATAACTGAGACTACTTGCAACGCGGCCACCGCGTCCTCCGTTTCCTGCGCCATCACATTGTCCGTATGCTCGATCACCTGTATCAAAAGCGAGTTACGCTAATTATTAGCATCATAGTCGCAAAAACTTGTGTTTTGGCAATTTGTTCGTTCGAAGCGGAGGCAATATCGATTGTTTTGCAAGCAAAACGCCATTGAAGGAAAAAAAAAAGGAAGAAATCGATTCGATAGAAATAACAAAACGATACACAGCGCGTTGTGTAGCGCGCGGATTGTTATCAGAAGCAACGATCTCTATTCAAGCAATTAAAACAATGTTTGCAATATTTTTTCGCCTGGAAACGTTTAAACCCTCGAGGGTCAAACGAGAGTTCACGGCTGAATTATATTCTGCACCGTGTGCAGATGGTAATCTCTTCGCAACCGAAATCCGTTTAAACATGTTTCCATATAGATTGTGACATTTCAGTTAAGGCCAGTATATCACGCTTTTATTACATTCTTTTCTTCTTTTTTACAGCCACATAGTTCCGTTTGCAAAATTTCCTGTCGCCCATCCAGTCTGCCGCGCATAATTTAATATTTATTTGTCTTGTTTTAATTTTGTGAGTTAATATCTACTTTTATATAATATATTGAATTTTTTGCTTAAGAATCTCCTCGATAGATTGATGAAAACGATTATATACGGAATAGGATAGTTACCTCGTGGGGCTGATAAGCGATTAGCTGATTGTCCCGGAATCTCTCTGGATACAACTGAGTCTGTATGGCTCTCATCTGTTTCTCTAAATGCACTCTCGCGTGACGCTCCCTTTCTAGCTGTCGTCTGAGCTCCACCACCTCGCTGTTCGCAACGGAATGTCCCTCTGTGGTCACTGTGATTACAGACAACGGCTCGGGGGACATGCTGCCCAAGCCCTCGTCGCCGCTCTCGCTGACGTGCATAGGTAGACTAACGACAACGCCTAAACAACAGAAAAAAATCGAATGACAGAGAGAAAATAAATATCTATTAATAAAAAGATGAAAATAGCGCGCATGGAAAATCGATTGATAAATATTACAGTTGAGCAGTGAGACCAAAACAACCTCAAATCGCTTTTTTTAATCTGTTTATAAAAATTTCTTTCCCCTTTTTAAATCATTTACGTCAAAAAGCGTGTGTCAAATAAATGTGTATGTAAAAAAAATTTTTCTTGCGGAGTAAAAACGCGCACGCGCGCGATTTAATATTTTCTGAAATTAATTTTTGGAAAGTTTCACAAATTTTCGGATTACAGATCGTTGAATAATCGCAATGAACTTTCGGAACAAATTTAGATTTCTGGTGTGCGCGCTTCAATGCAGCAGTGCGAATACACATATGCGGTATAAACGGGATTGCGAGACCGAGTGAAATTAAATCTGGTCATTGTTTACGATATAGAACAAATATAGAGACCCTCTTCCCCCATCTCGCGCGGATCAAAGGCCAGTTCATTTGTTTCGACGTTATATTAAAGCAAAGTGAATGTAACTTTACGTACCCCCGTATGTTACTTTATTTGCGCATTGTTTGACGTCATGGAACGTCAAATTATGGCAAATTATAACATAGCAAATTGTGTGCACATGTACCGTTCTAGCAAATACTTTTCATCAACCGAACATTTATTAATTAACATTTGTGCCGCGTAATTTCTACGGCAACGATAATTGAGATTATCGATTAGTGCTATCAATGAGATAGTTTCAGTACCATTAGTTTCCATTTTTCAAATCAAATATAGATTTGAAACAGAAGTAATGTTAAATCACTTATGTTGCTTTTACGTCGTTACACGTAGTTTAGCCAGAAAGATATCATGTTTTTGAATATTATACATGTCACTTGTTACCCGTTTAAACTCTCTCGATATTGAGTATACAAAGCTAATGGTTCATACATATACAGAATATAAAATGTATATTAATAAAAAATATATATTTTTTCTCTATACATCTCCCTGCTTAAAAATTGTTTTATTGCTACACGCGATTGATACTATAATTCATATTTATAAAGAAAAAATCCACGAAATATCTGTGTAAATACTAATTTAAAGAGAGTCGAGTTAGCTTCTTCTTTATAAATTCCGAAACATTATTCTACTGCTCTCGGATAATGATTGTAAATGTCGAGACTAATATTTGGAAGCGCGGTTGATCGATAAAAGTGGCTCGTCGGCATTAAATCCGCTTCGTCGCACAACCGACGACGAACTTTCTGAATATCGGCATGCCATCGATGGAGGAAACTAATTTACGATAGAATCAGAAATTGAAATTGTCTCGGTCGAAGTTCGCGACAGATACTTTCCGGCGGTCATATCGCCACGACGGCGACATCACCGAAACGTCATTGACGTCGGAAAAAGAGAGCCACTTTAATCCATCAAAGTTGTATTTAGCCACTAAAGTAATATAGACTTTCAAGGGCGAACATGTCGAGAACAATCCTTGCCATTGTTGTCTACTGCCCCGCTACGCTAAATCCGATATATGTATAATCCAAAAGATTAATCTTTCAGCGGCATAATTTCACCTTTTTATGAAACGAATATACAATAATGTAATCATAAATTAATTATCATTTAATTAATTATCATTTATAGACGAAAAAATTTCAACATTATTTGGGAATCTTAATTTAACTATTCGGCTTTCTTTTACTCGTGGTATTTTTTAAGGGTAAAAATAATAAAACACATACAGCCAAAAAGATTCTCTTTTACATATAATAATTAAATAGATAATTTAATTAGGTTCCAAGCGAATTAAATTAGATTTCACGAAAGTTTTACATCCGCACTAACCGATATTATATCATCCCGATATTATATTGAGCTTCCCTCCTCTGAAATAGTCTATACATATATCTTTTCAGTGTGATACTATAGTCGCGAAGAATGTAATTACTTTCGTGAAAATGACAAACGTCTCTCTCAAATGCGTTTGCATTGATCGTTGTCGCCGACATGGGAGTGATAAAAAAATTCCTGCAAAATTTGTCATTCCTGCCGCGAAATATGACACAAATCTCGCGCATATTGATTTAATGATTACATAAATAAATAAATGTGGGACTGCCAAACTTTTTACACGTGTTATGGCAACACGTTTGAATTTACTAGTTCGTCCAAGCAAATAAATCTATAAGTTACGTTCGCGAAAACGCGATATTATTCACTTGGGCGTGAGAGTTTTCGAGACTCAACAATTCAATTTCGCGATTGAAAAATAACTTATGGTTCAACGTTGCACGTTATAAACGCGGGTAAACCCGTAAAATAAGCGGATCACAATATATATTTCCGCAACTTTTCGCGCTCTGCTCCGATTATTTCCGCTTTTTGTTTTTATGATCCTAAATCCACACACCGGGACAGTGCAATCGCGGTCGCAAGGGCGATAAATAATTCAAGCCCATTTGGAAAATCTCGTTATGCGATGAACGTTAATTCCATTGCTTTTATGTGTATAAATGTTTGCGCGCAAACAACGGTCATAAAGATATTTTGTTGACGCATTTTTATACTATTGCTATATTTTCACATAATATATGTTTCGATATTTTGCGATAATTTCATCGCGACTTTTTTAAAAGATTTTATGCAGAAACCGCAATTAATTAATCTCTTAATTTATAAAAACAGAAAGAATTGTATTTTTTAACAAAAATACAAAGCTCTTACTTTTTGCATATATGTATATATAAATAATAATAAGTTAATTTACATTAATGATTAATTAATTAAAATATGACGTAGAACTCTTACCTTGGGTGTCGGATTTGCGTTTCTTAGGTACATCGCCACCTTCGTGTTGATTTACCAACCGTTTCAGTTGGCAATTTTGCGATAGCAATTGTGTCTTCTCTTGCTCTAATTGGTATATGTATTCGGCAGTCTGTTGAAGTATCGCGGCCTGTAACATAAATAAAAAGACAAATTATTCCACGCATCTCGTTTCATCTCATAATTGTGCACGAATTGTTGCTCACATTAAAATACATGTCGCGTATCATCAGAATTTATTTTTATATGCTTAAAGCGAGGCCGACAATGACAATAAAAAGCGTATTAAAATCTAATAAAAAATTACTGGGAATACTCAAAACGAGAAACGTGATCCCTACGATAAATCGCAGAGAGATCGCATTCACCGCAGGTGCCTCCTACGCATTATTCGCAACCTGCACCGGAGGGAGGGACGCGATAGCGACAAGAGGAGAACGGGGACTTCCTGTTTACGTGCCCCACGAGCTTAAGGGGTTTTACATGGTCAGAGGGAGAAAAAGAGAAAGGGGGAGACCACACTGTGCGCGGAGCCAGCCGATAACATCCGGCGAAGGGTATCGCGTGTCACGCGTACTACGTCGTAGTAAAACGGGAATGGCTTCGAGGAGCCAGATCGGCGAAAACAAAAGGGCCGATTGATACCCGCGGCCGTGGCGCGGGGTAACGGGGCCGGGTGTACGGTTCGCACCTGCCGACAGGTGGTTAACGAACAGATGCCCCGCGTACGCTCCGATCGTAAATGCACGAATGATTCTCGCCATCGCGCCTCGTCCTTTCCCCGAGCAACCGGTCCTTCGCATTACGTGAAAAAACATACTCAATTATCCTTCCCCTCTCCTCTCGAAATGTTCTTTTTTTTTTTGCCTAATTGGATACCAGCCTGGAGCGATCGAGCAATGGGTATCGCGCGATTTCTGCGCACCAGTCTTTCTATCTATTTACATATCGTTTTATCTCGCACATGTAAGAATAATTTAAAAAAATAAAAATTATAAAGAGAAAGAGAGAGAGAGAGAGAAGGATAACTTTAAATAAGATATAAATAAAATAAAATGATATAAGCACAGATATAAAATAATTAAAATATGCAAATTACCGATTGACGGCAATTAAAAATAATAAGAATGGAGGAAGATCGTGCGTACGTAGAGGATAAATTTTTATACATATTAAATATATATTTTGTTATCTCTTACAAGATATTTTTAAGATAAAAAAATTGTAATAAAATATGCTGCAATGATACTCTACAAAATCAAGAAAGTTTTTGTATCGCAAGATAGGATATATTCGAATACAATTATTTTGATATCTTTATTAAAGTTTCTTCATTTTATATTCGCTAGAATATGCAAGTCATCGAAAGAATAAAAACAGATATGCAAATGCGGGCCAAGAACAAGAACTGGCACGAATATTTAAATAAAATGTTACAAATAATATAATTTGAGGTCGTATTAATTTACACCAGCATGCATAAAAGGAATTAATGATTTCAGAAAGTATATAAATGAATGTAATGCGGAAAAATCGCAATTCTCGATTTCGATATATCATTGTGAATCTACTGTGAATATACCGAAGTAATATCATTTCAATGATCTATTATTAATTTTTGATTATTTAAACTTAATATTTTAAACGTAAATCTAAAATTGCGGATCGTAATTACAAAAGAGCAAATACTTAACAAAAAATTTACATTTAACAAATTTCCGAAAAAATCACGCTGTTTTTTAAACATGGGTACAGAAGTGATACATGATAAAATTAACAATAAGCTCCATGATGTAGAGGAAGTATTCCACAAGAAACTAGGTACCGATATGAATTATCGGCATTCATACATTTGGCAACTCGTCGTAGGTCATGCAGCTCTTCAGATATCATGGTTCATTGGACTATACACACTGATCTTTTATGACACGAAATTAGCTACTACGATTTGGGGTAAGTGTCGAACCTAAAACATGTGTACAAAACTGAAAATGATATTGTCATATATTTTCATAATAAAAAATATTTTATTCTTAATATTTAATTACGTATATTTATTAGATTAAAATGTGTGTGCATATTATGTATATATAAGTGTAATTAAAAAAAAATATAATTAATTTTTTTTTTTATTAAAATCTTTTTGACAAGAATTCTCATACGTTTGTTTTATGATCAATATCTTATAAAAGCTGCACGATTATCTTATAAAATGTCTCACGCTCTTTATGATCAAAGATTCATAACGAACATTAATGACGTTAATTTTTCAGCGTTTTTCATTGCAGCTTCTTCTACTCAAGGAATTTCGTTGGGCGCGCATCGTTATTACACTCACAAGGCTTTTAAAGCTACCAAATCTTTAAAGATCCTTCTCTTCTTTTTCCAAACCATGGCAGGCCAGGTAAAAAAAAAATCGCTGAATATATTTGAGACAAAATCTTTGTTGTACATACATGATGTATCGAAAAAAAAAGAAATAAAAGATCTTGTCGCGCAGTCTCACAAGCAATTTCACTTTCATTCAGAACAGCATGTTTACGTGGGTTTGTGATCACAAACTTCACCACACATACAGCGATACAGACGCGGATCCCCACAATTCCAAGAGAGGATTCTTTTTCTCTCATATGGGATGGCTTATGGTGAAAAAGCATCCGCTGCTGATCCAGAAGCGGAAGCAGATGGACATCTCCGAATTGCTCGCTGACAAAATGTTAATGTTTCAATACAAGTAAACGTTACCACAAATTATTCATACCAAATTATGCACCCAAAGAAATACAATAGCTGCGCATTAAAAATTTAAATATCGATTGTAGTTGTAACGACAAGTCATAAATATAATAAAGCAATACAAATGATTTTTTATTTTTTTTTTTTAGATACTTTTTGCCGCTTTATTTCATTATAGCGGTTGTGTTGCCGGTATCGGTGCCAATGTACTTCTGGAACGAGACATTATGGACGTCGTTCTTCGTGGCATATTGCTTTCAGTATGTCACCAGCCTCCACTTCACTTGGACTATAAATTCATTCGCTCATTTATGGGGCACTAAACCTTACGACAAGTGAGTTTATTATCTCAATATTAAGCTGTCCCGAAAAATTTTTGATTGGAGAAATCTGATTCGCATTATAAAAGCAAATTTATTTATTAAAACTTTTACTAAAATTTATTTATTCAAGTAAGAAAACATGTTTTTTTCACGCAAAGCACCACATTATTAATCTCTGCCATTTTATACTTAATGTCATTTAATTAACATTTACTATAATTACACACAAATTTTACTTTATTAATTAACTATGATCAATTTAAAATCAATTTTGATTATGTGCAATACTTGATTTTAATTTGAAATCTATCTCGGTTTCTCTTTCGACTGAAATACAAGCTCACAAAAATCGTGTATGATTGCTTTACAAAGCATTGCAATATTTGTCATTGTTTGTGATATTTGTTTCAGGAGACTCCAAGCAACAAACTCAAATATCTCTTGGTTCCTAACACTTGCCGACGGTTGGCATAATTTCCATCACGCCTATCCTTGGGATTATCGAATGTCCGAGTTTGGAAACTTCACTAGTACACCTGCATATCTGCTCGATTTTTTCGCGTATCTGGGATTAGCCTACGATTTGAAGACAGCCTCACCTAATATCATTCGTGAACATATGAAGAAACATGGAGATGAGACAGGACAAAAAATGCTCGCCAAGAAGGAAAATCTTAAAACGTCTAGAAATCTATTAGAAGATTTATTGGCGTTAGATTAAAGGTCAAAATTGCAAATTGCGCCCGTAAATTTTGCAACATTAGTTCGAAGACACTTTGTATAACAAAGATACGATAGAAATAAAAATGACAATTGATAGAATTTGTTCGCACACTTGCGATATGAATTAACGCGTTTCTCACCTCGTCCGTATCGAAGGTATCACCTTTTGCTCTTTCGGGAACGGAATAAAAAAAATTCTCTCCTAAAGCAGGTTGGCGCATCGATTACTATACGCTGGAAGACCGTGAGCTCTCGCGATTTATATGGTCCGCTCGATCCAAGTTCCAACGCACGTGCCGAAATCTCGTTAAACGATTATTCGCTCTGCAAAAGTCCACGCGGGCCAAGGTCGCTCACTGGCGGCGGCAGCGACGATTTATCGTCAAATCCCCCCCCTTTCTCCCGGTTATCTAAATTATATTTTTATACTAATAATAATTTTTATACTAATAATTTTTTAATTCAGAGGGAGAGAGAAATATCTCTGATTTACATGTAATTTTAGTTTTCATAGCTCTCTTATTTTAAGATTTCTCTATAATTCTCGATTAAAAAATTATATGATATATTCTTGACAATAATGATAAGGAATAAAAGAATTACAAATTTTAACGCACACGGAGGTGAGGGAAAGGTTTTTAATCCGTCAATTATTTCGCCTTCGTTTTCGCCTGTGTATCGGTAAAAATGTAGAGTACGACAGCTGTGCGGTCGCCCGTCTGAATGGGGTGACGATCGATATAGAGGTACAAGATGAGAAGGGCGAAATAATGCCGGCAGCTGGCGATCGAAAGAGAGGAACATTCGCTGCAACGCACGATCGCGTGTCTGAGTTCGTGACCCCACCTGCTGAACTCGTTTCCACGAAGCAGGGTCACAACTGCCCTCAAATAATCGACGGAGCGATGTTGCATATCGCAAATGTATGTGTGAATACATATTAGTTTTTACGCGTGATAACATTCTGCCAAATAAATATGTATCTACGTAAAAACAAAAAATATCGAGTGACGTTTTATGTTTAATCAAACATTTTTTATTTTACCCCCTCTCTTCCCATTATCTTTTTTTTTGCATCGTTCTGTTTCAAAACAATCAGAGATCTTTCATATTAGATTCTACTAATATTTATATAGCTTTGAATGCTAAGATTTGGCACTCCGAGTTCGGCCCTCTTTGAAGATAACATTCATCAATGCAAATAAATAAACATTTTAATTTCGATATACAATTCTTTTTTAAATGGGAGCATTGATTTGGAAAAATTTGGCAAGATTGATGCATTTCTAGGACTGGTTATTTTACTATTACTACGCGTGCAATCTCTCCTCCTTCGCTCTCGTCCTTTCCTCCCTTCCCGCTCTCTCCTCTCGCTCTTTCACACTTTCTCCCTTTTCTTCCCGAGAGCTCCCACCAAGGACTCGCGGCTCTTCTATCGTCGAATCTTTTCTTCTTCGGGGTTCGCGGGAACTTTCCCGTCGAGAATCTCCCCGCCGCCTCGGCAATCGGATTTCTTTCTTCTTGTTGCAGCGGCGGTGGCAGCGGCAACGACAGCATTCCAAAGCATTCGGGTTGGGAGAAAGAGAAAGAGAGAGAAGGATAAAGAGAGAGGGAGAAAAAGAGTGCAATCTATCAAAGTCGCCCTCTTCGACTATACTCGCGCGATCGTTTACGATTCCGCGCGCGAATTCAACAGGAATTCCTTGCTATTCGCGTTGCCCTATTGTTCCGATTTACGAATCGCCTTACCCCGCTATGTCTCCTACTCGGCTACAAATTGCCATCCTGATGGGCAGACGTTAAATGAAAGGGGAATGAAATGATAAAACATAAGACATCACGTAAGGCCGTATACCGAACGTTAATTATAACTGACGCATCGTTGCACAGTTTACACATTATATATTAATAATTTTAACGACCGCGCACGAGAATTCTTCAACGGAAGATTCATAATTCAAAAAGTTGCAATTTTTTGTATATAATTATTCTTCATCTTAATAATGATCTCGACTTATAATAAAAGTTTCTTGAAATTTTTATGTTACGTCTGATAATAAAATGGGTTAAGCATCTCTAACAGTTATAAAATTAATAATGTGCCCCCTATACTTAAATCTGCTTGCTGTGCACATTTAGTCTTGTTTTTCTCGGAAGACAACGCGGTCCGGATCGCCATAATTAATTGCGGTTATTGCATCGTACATTTTACGCGCTTAATTATATAAGATGCACGAATGAAAATTTTCGAGGCGAAACGACGCCAATGATTTACCGATAAAACGCCCGCCATCGTTACGGCTCTGCGTTATTATTATATCGTAATTACTCTGCTTATAAAAGCGACAGCTTGTTCGCAAATGCATTCTTTCGGCTGGCGTGCAAAGACATGGAAGATGCATAAAATTAACATTTTTCAAAACAATTTGACAGATAGTAATTAGTTGTCAATCTTGGTAATAGTCCGATATTTATATTTACAACTGCGTAAGAAAGAAACTTATAGATAATTATCCATAGTTTTCTTGAAGAACAAATTTCAATAATAAATGTTTCAACAGTTGCACAGTTCAAAGTATTACGAAATCTTTCTACCTGAAATAAATAACCTTGTTCTTTGTCTTTATCCTTTTTTCTACCTATCTCTTGCTGTCTCCTGATTTTTTTTTCCGTTCCCAATGTCGCAATAGGCGATTACATATTTCGCGAGGGAGTCGAATATGGGAGGGATTCGCGGAGTCTAATTAGGATTCCCGATGATGAGGTAACGAAGAAGGTCAGACCGGCGCACGTGGAGAAGATAAAAAGATGGGCCGGCCTGCGGCCGTTTTCGAAGCACCTTCTTGGAAGAGAATCCTTTGTGACCGCTCGTCGTATATGCTAAGTAAGCGGCTCCGCCGGCGTCCAAAGGCGAAACCAGAGATGCTAGAAATTCGAACCGGCTTCACGATGGCGCAGCGGCCACAGCAGAATCGCTGGACCGGACGTTGAAAAACGACTAGTGTCCGCTTTCGTTTACGATGACGAAATCGCGACATAATATGCGGTAAAACGGAATTTCGCGCTTACATTGCATCAGTCTTCTTGTTGTTTAACTGGCTAACAATTAAAATTCAACATATGCTAAAAATGGTTTTTACAAAATTGAATATTCGCGAGAAAAAATTTTTAGTCGTTTATAAAATAAAATTCCGATATTTATATTTACAACTGCGTAAGAAAGAAACTTATAGATAATTATCCATAGTTTTCTTGAAGAACAAATTTCAATAATAAATGTTTCAACAGTTGCACAGTTCAAAGTATTACGAAATCTTTCTACCTGAAATAAATAACCTTGTTCTTTGTCTTTATCCTTTTTTCTACCTATCTCTTGCTGTCTCCTGATTTTTTTTTCCGTTCCCAATGTCGCAATAGGCGATTACATATTTCGCGAGGGAGTCGAATATGGGAGGGATTCGCGGAGTCTAATTAGGATTCCCGATGATGAGGTAACGAAGAAGGTCAGACCGGCGCACGTGGAGAAGATAAAAAGATGGGCCGGCCTGCGGCCGTTTTCGAAGCACCTTCTTGGAAGAGAATCCTTTGTGACCGCTCGTCGTATATGCTAAGTAAGCGGCTCCGCCGGCGTCCAAAGGCGAAACCAGAGATGCTAGAAATTCGAACCGGCTTCACGATGGCGCAGCGGCCACAGCAGAATCGCTGGACCGGACGTTGAAAAACGACTAGTGTCCGCTTTCGTTTACGATGACGAAATCGCGACATAATATGCGGTAAAACGGAATTTCGCGCTTACATTGCATCAGTCTTCTTGTTGTTTAACTGGCTAACAATTAAAATTCAACATATGCTAAAAATGGTTTTTACAAAATTGAATATTCGCGAGAAAAAATTTTTAGTCGTTTATAAAATAAAAAAAAAAAAAAACAAAAAAAACCGCATACATTAAAGTTTGTAAAAAATAAAAAAAAATTAAAATCTCTCTACAAAAATATTTTTTACTAGAATTCTAAACAATTTGGTAGAGAGAGACAAGTAAAACAATATATCTTCTGTACACGAAACGCAGTTCTCTAAGTTTCAAGGTCTCTAGGTTTCATGTCGCAACGCAATTATGAAAGAAAGTAATTGTATCGATAATTGAGCAAGTCTTTTTACTTAATTTGTGCTCGATTGTAGTCATTCTAGCGGCAATCGGCGCGTCGTCTATTATTTGTACGTTTCTCCTACACAAACATATAATTTTCCACAACTGTGTACGGTTATTATACGAGAGACGATGTCTCCCCGACGCGATCTCGCGCGGCGCTGAAATTCCCCGGCTTAATCGGCGCGCGCGAGCGCGACTACCGCGAAGTATAATATTCCATAGAAGAGATATTTCGCGTTTCGCCGCGCTCGCGCGTTATACGCTTCGCAATTACTCCACCAAGGGAGAATTATAAATCGGGCGCATTTGTTCGTACGTCACGGTACATTGCGACGGGGCGTCGCGGCGGCGGCGCCAAACGTTGGCTCACGAAAAGCGCTTTTCCGCGTGCGGGCGCGCGAACGAAAATACGTTTTCCGCGAAACCGTCCGTCGTCATGTGCCATCCTTCTCTCTGCTTCGTTCACTTCCCTCCATTCCTGCTTTTATGTCGCGATCTCAAAGCGCTCCGTCGCCGTATCGTAATTAAAAACGTTTATTGCCGCCTCCTTGTACACGACGAGAGAGACTGTCTGCCGAGCGAGCACGTGAATGATATTCCGCGGATGTTACTTCTGCCAAAAATGGACGAAAATGGCTCACTCGCTCCACTCGCTTGAGTTAATTCTTAAATCGCGTTAAAATGACTACCAGTGCACATTCCAATCTCGAGAGATAGTAAATATATTAAAAGAGGGGTTCCTCCTCTCATCTCTTTCTTCTACCTCTCTTTTGCAGTTCCCCCTTTAATTCGAAAAATTTCTACAATTAGTCTGTCTATTGCTAAAGCGCAATCGTTGCATGATAAATACAAAAAATAATAATAATAATAATGTAGATGAATATAGCTTTAAGGCGATTAAATCAAATGCTATTTTATTAATAGTTTCATTTAATAATTTGCTCGTGGAATCTTTTCGCGTTTTTTTTATTTCTTTTTATTTCCATTTCACTTATGTGTTGTACCGTCATATAGTACTATTTTTCACCGCATTGCTAATATCTTTTGATCCTATAGAATATAGGATAATATGATCATATAATAAATATCAACTATTTACCTTTAAAAAAATGCAAAAAGTAGTAATAATTATTTGCTATTATATCATATTGCATTACATTTACGATAATATTGTAAACTAAAAAAATAGATGAAAGAGAAAAGAGGAAAAAGCATGGAAATA